AAAAAATTTTTTTTTTTTTTTTTTTTTTTTTTTTGTCTTCCTGAGTTATTTCAAAAGACTATGTTCAAAATCAGAAATTCTTTCTGAAGCTTCCTCTAGCCTGCTACTTAAGCTTTCGGTTGTGTCTTCTATTTCATTGAATCCTTCAGTTCCATGAGTTAAGCTACATTCTTTTTTAAAGTATCAATTTCTTTGTAAATTTCCTCCTTCATATACTTGGTAGTTTTTCTCATCTCATTGTGTTGTCTGAGTCTTCTTGTATCTCATTTAATTTCCTTAAGATAGTTGCTCAGAATTCCTTTTCAGTCATTTCAAGGGTTTTCTGTTCTATGGAGCCTGGTACTTGAGAATTACTGTATTACTTTTGTAGTGTCATATTTTCTTGTTTTTTCTTATTTCTGTCTATATGTTGATGTCTGTTGGTCTTCTCTTACTCTGGAGTGGGCTTGGAGGAGAGAGACTTCCTCCTGTGCATGTGTTTTATATTGACCATTGAGTAAGATGTTTTAGTTTTGGTTCTAGGTCCACACAGTAGTGTAGTCTCCATGTGGGTACTTTGGCTGTATTCAAGTCAGAGTTGCATTGTGAGTGCCTCCTTGGCCTAGGCACTGGGGCACTTACTGGTTCCTTGCTGAGGTTAGTGACACTGTGTTGGGTTGTTGAAGATGTGGGCAAGGTCTCAAGTTCTTGGGAGAAGTACCTGGGTGTCCTGTCACTCTTTGGCTGGGGTGAGTGACTCTGGGTGGGCTTGTTGGCACACTGACTAGCATCCTGTGACCTTGATAGGTGCACTGGGAATTTTCTTCCTTACTCTATTTGGCTATCCTGGGTTTCTGCACTCTCTAGTTTCCATGTATGTCTCTTCCTGGGTTAAGGCAGTCTCATGTGCTGCCTATGTCGCTCCCAGCCCCAGGTGTGCTACCATGGGGGCCAGTGTCATTCCCCCTGGAGGTTGGGCCACTGGGTTGTGGGTCTGCACTCACTCACCTCCTTCCCTGGGTTCCGCTGGTGACCCTCCTTGTATCGATGCAGTTGAGTAGTTGGCGTTCTGCCTGCATGGCAGTGGTGGCTGCTGCAGTGACTGTGGTGGCAGTCCGCCCTTCACTGGCCTCCTGCCTGCAGAGTTGTGGTGTCTGCAGCAGCAGAAGGCTTACTGAGCAATAGTGGCAGCAGTGGGCCACCTGTGTGACTCCTGCTCTGTGAGAGCTGTTCTGCAGGAAGACAGGTGATAGTTCTAGAACCAGAGAATGGCTCCAGCAGCAGTGGTGGTGGGCCCATTTTGATCTTCTTCTGCAGGAATTTCAAAGGTCCTGGAACCAGAGTTCTGTCCTTCAACACAGTGATGTTAGCTTAAAAATAGGCAGCATATACCTTTAAGCCATGAAGCAATTGACATCTTGAAATTAGTATAAGCTCCATGAAGGCAAGGTTCTTGACTAACTTGAGGTTCTCCATCATCTAGCAAAATGACTGATGCATAGTAGGCAGGCAGTAAATATTAATTGAGTGAATGAATGAATACCTTGGCTTCTCTATGATTTTTAGAGTGAGAATTTTTTTATTTGTTTGACATAGGATTGACAGTATTGTAATATCCTAGTGCTAGAAAGGGCTGTAATAGGTAACTTTGTTTATTAAATTAGAACAGTAGTTGAACTATTTCAGGCAGATGGAAAATATCCTGTTTGGGGAGTGAAAAAATTGCACTAAAAAATTTGGAACTTTACTGTAGTAACTCTTTCTAGTGTTTTAAGAATCCTTATTATTAAAACTCTCCTCATGGTAAGTTTTCCTTACCAATTTATCTTTCATTATAAAAGCAACACAATCAAAATATTTGGAAATTTTTTTTTTTTTTTGTCTTTTTTTGTCTTTTTCCGTGTCCGGCAGCGGATCGCAACCCTCAGTGTTGCCCCCGTACCGGACCGGGGACCGGCAACGGGATCGCAAGCCTCGGTGTTGCTCCCGCGCCTCGCTCAGCCAGTGAGCGGGAGCCGGTCGGTATGTGGGATCCGAACCCTCGGACGGGAGCGCTGCCGCGCTTCCCAAGCGGCGCACCATCCAGTGCGCCACCGGGCCGGCCCAAAATATTTGGAAATTTTAAAGGAAAGAAAAAATTAACCCTAGTTGAGTATAATCTTTATTTATTTACAGTTTATTATCTTGATTTTCTTTTTTAATATTATATCATATAGCTGTTAGTCTTGGAAGCAACATGGAACAGCAAAAAGCTAGCAAGTTTTGTTGGCAAGTTGGTCTGAGGTTGAAACTCAGCACTGTCATTTGCAAGCAGAATGAACTTGGGCAAGTCATTTAACCTTCTGTCTTTTTTATCATCTGTAAAAGAAAGATGATAATATGTCCACCTCAGAGCTGTTGTGAGGTATGCTCTGCAGTGCCTGGCACGGAGCTAGAGCTTGGTGCTGTGAGCTGCTGCCATGCCAATGGCCAGGGATGGCATGTAGCCAGCATGTACTGGCGCTGCTGTACCAGTTGTTAAAATGAATAGAAAGCTTTCCATGCTAGTTGGTAAGATGTGATTGCCTGCCCCCATACACCTCCACAGCTTCTGCAAATGCACATCCCCCAACCCCTACCAACATGCAAGTGTTACTAACACCTGGCATTACAATCTACATCCATTCTGATTGGTTGGTGCGTGTACTATCACCTCTACTAGTAACCCTTCATTTTTGTCAATCTATGACATAATTTACTTAATCATTACTTTATTGGAAAGTTAGGTTGCAGCTAATTTTTTTCACCATACCTAATGCTGCTATGACAAATATCATACGTGTTTGTATCATAGGGGATGCTCATTTCCAGTTTATTTTTTAGTAGTAAATGAAAATCTCCTCTCTCGTTGATCTCTACGTGTCTTGAAGGCTGTTTCTTAAACTCCTCTTATCCAGGTTGAATTATCTTCTATACCAATGCTTCAGCCACTTTTTGACTTGCCTTCTAAATTCACTTTTTATTCTCTACGTTGTTCTTTAATCATATGGCCGGAATTGGACCTAACGGGTTCCTGAGTCAGACCCATGTAGAGTAAAGTGTTTTCATGACTCCCCTACATTTCACTTTTCAGTATTGTGCTTATTTTGGCAACTTAAACCAAAACGAGAACGAGTATCACTGTAGTACTATTTAAATACTTACCTCCATCTTACTCAGCTGTTTTTCATCTTGTATTTGTCCTGTGAGAAACCCCCCTTTCCTAACATATACTTTACTAGAGAGCAATCCTATTTGTTTTTAATATAGTCTAATATTACTAAGATTCTTTTTCTTAATGTTGCACAGCCATTTTTTTTTTATACCACAGTCACTTTGAATATTAATTATCTCTTCCCTGCTCTGAAGTGAAAACTGACTCTTTACCGCCTTCCAGAGTTTAGGTGGAAACTGTAAATACATGCCATGTTGACTCTCCAACTAGGCTGGCCTGACCTAGATTGACTCATGTTGAACATGCCAGTCAAGAGGCACCTGTTGCTTCAGAAATGGAAAAGGGAGGGAGCAGTTTGATCAAAATAGGTCCTGAATATGCTGCGGTTGGTTACCCAATTATAAATAAAATAAAAGCCCATTGAATCCACCTTGAAGGCTTTTCCATTTTTCAGAGCATTAATGATCATGCTATTTATTGGATTATCTTTGTCTACTAAATCTTATATGGCCAAAGGTTCATTTGGGGGTTAGATAAAAGATACTAATCACATACCACCTGCTCCGTGTGGTAGGACATGAAGGCTCACAGAATAGAAGGAAGCTGTCTCTGTTGTCTGTATTTAGGTTGTGAAAAAGAATTGTTGAAAGATTTGGGAGATAATAAATAAAGTTCCTAGGGCATTAATGATTAGATAAAATTGAATAACATACATTTTAATTCTTTATTA